AACATTGAGTATTCGTTAATAAATCATTGTAGATACAATTATTTTAGTACTTTTGTCTTTTAGCCTTTATACTAGAGATATAAGTGATAACCTACCACTCTTACAATATTAGACTATTCTGAGTTTAAATACATAACTACCTTTACCAGCGACTTTTATACTTTCATATGTTTTCCTGTTACAGATTAGCTTCCTTTCATTTCATCTTGATGCGCTCTCTTTAACCTTTCTTGTAAGGCTGGTTGAGTCATGAATCCCTTCAGCTTTTGTTTGTCTGGGAAACTTTTTGTCTCTCCTTCAATTCTGACGGGTAAGTGTACCAGGTAAAATATTCTTGGTTGGCAGCTTTTTCTTTCAATTGATAGCCTTATGGGGGCTTCCTTGTGAAGAACAAGTCTCTTTTCTCTTGCCGCTTTTAAGATTCTGTCTTGTCTCTTAACTTTTGACAATTTAATTATAATGTGTCTCAGTGTGGATCTCCTTGAGTTAATCTTTTTTGGTATTCTTTTTGCTTCCTGGATCTGGATGTCTATTTCTCCAGATTAGAATAATTTCAGCTGTTATTTCTCTGAATAAGCTTTCTACTCCTTTTTCTCTCACTTCTTCTACTCTTCTATAATGTGTGTATTGGTCCACTTGTTAGTGTCCCATCAGCTCCTCAAATTATCTTCACTCTTTTTAAAAAATTCTTTTTTCCTTTTTCTTTCTTGATTTCTTCCTTGATACAATGAATTCCACTGTCTTCTGTTGTAAGTTTGTTGATCCTTTCTTCAGCTTAATCTACTCTGCTGATCTGCTCTACTGATTTTTTAAAGTTAATTATGACAGTCTTTATCTCTAAGTTTTCTGTATGGTACTTTTTAATAGTTTCTATATTTTTGTTAAAATTCTCTCTTTATTCATGCGTTGCTTTCTTGATTTTGGTGAGGACTTTCGGACCATTATTTTGAACTTTCTTTGAGGTAAATCATGAATTTGCATTTTATTAAGATTGTTTTCTGGAGATTTATCTTCTTTCTTGTTTGAGATACATTACCCTGTTTCTCATTTTTCTTGACTCTTTGTGTTGGTTTCTGCACATTGGATATAACAACCAGTTCTCCTGTTCTTGACAGACTGGCCTCATGTAGGAGATGTACCTTGTCAATCAACTGAGTCTGAGCTCTTGGTTGCCTCTCAAAGCTTTGTGATTTTCCAAACTACTGTCCTTGTACTTAGCAGCTCCCAGTAAATGAAGGTGTTCCAAAACCCATCAGTATCCAAGGGCAAGGAAATATCCTTACACTTGTTCAGGTTCCCAGAGGACACAGATGGTTCCCTTGATCACACAGATTAAGGAAAATCATCATCACCTTGGTGAGGAAGGATTGGAATTTGACAGCACAATTATCCCTACGGCTAATATCCACATGTACAATTTGCATGTCACATGAGTGAATTGTGCATGTGACTCTTTACAGAGCCCTTGTATCAGCGTTAGGATACTGTTCTCCACGGTGAAGCAGCAGAGTGCACTGATGCTCAGTAACCCCTGGGACTCTTCCCGATCGGAGGCTGGTTCATCAATTCATCAGACAGCTCGTCATCCTCTCCTCTCATTGGTGCTGTACTGACCATTTATTCTTACATTACCAGAATAAGGGCTTCTTTTTCCGACTTGAGAATGTCTGTCTTTCATGGGGACTAGGTTTAGGATCAGTTATGTCTAGGGAGCTAACTTTCCAGCACAGAAAAACTAAATAAGGCTAATTAGCTTGAGGAAAGGAGTTGGCCTCCTGTGTTTGGTGATTATCTGAGAAGTCACCCTATAAACGACTTGCTTTGCTGTCATTTTTGATTTCCCATTTAAAAGAGGAACATGAGAGTGGATTAAGCAAGATTAAATTAGTGAAATATTTACTTAACAAAAAAGG